AGCTCCCCTCCAAAATAAATAAAGTGACTGAAAAAGGTACAAATTCTCATCTGGAATCAAGGACGCTTAATGGTCTTAAATATCATGAAATTGTTAAGGATTCTCTGTTCTCATTTTAACACTGGGTGAATTGGTCTCACTACACCATGAGCACAACTGCTCAAATCAGCAGGAGTGTGAGCCCTTTGTGACAGCTGTCCCATAACCCAGACCATCTGCCCCTTAATGTAGAGAACATCCCAAGTGTCATTATAATTCCCAGGAATGAGTCTCATAGTTGGCCAGGCACGGTGGTGCATGCCTGTAATCCCAGCTCTCAGGAGTCTAAGGCAGGAGGATCGGGAGTTCAAGGCCAGCCTGGGCCTCACAGGAGTTTAAGGCTAGCTTGGACTATAAAGTGAGACCTTGTCTCAATCAGAAAAACAACACCCTGCAAGAGAAAACTCTAACCCCAATTTAAATTGCTTAAATGCCGTGCTTACCAGTTTCCGAATTCGGTCTAAGACCAGGTCAATGATCTCCTTGCCGATGGTGTAGTGCCCACGGGCATAGTTATTGGCAGCATCCTCCTTGCCTGTGATGAGCTGCTCAGGGTGGAAGAGCTGGCGGTAGGTACCTGTGCGCACTTCATCTGGAAGGAGAAGAAACAGCCGCCCATTACTAAAAACCTGCAGGCGCCTGCTCAAGCCAGGAGCTTCAGCAGGTATCCCGGGTCCACTCACCCACGACTGTGGGTTCCAGGTCTACAAACACGGCCCTGGGCACGTGTTTGCCAGCACCAGTCTCGCTGAAGAAGGTGTTGAAGGAGTCGTCTCCACCACCAATGGTCTTGTCACTTGGCATCTTGCCATCGGGCTGGATGCCATGTTCCAGGCAGTAGAGCTCCCAGCAGGCGTTGCCGATCTGGACGCCAGCCTGGCCAACGTGGATGGAGATGCACTCACGCTGTGGAGGAAGGCAGAAAAATGTCAGGATGACCCATCAGATGGGACATGTCAGACCTACTTAACCTTCAAAGACAGATAACCAGTGTCCAGGGGCCACTCTTGCCCTGGGACTATCTCATAAGCAAAACTCTTGATGAAGCTGAGCAGTTGGCACATGCCCATAATCCCAGCTACTCTGGAGGCTGAGGCAGGAGGATCACAAATTCAAGGCCAGTGGGGGAATTTAGTGA